TCTCAAACTAACGCATAAGGCACTTTATTGATTTTGGGCGTGTCAATCGGATTTCTTTTGGGTCTTTTAGCAAATACTAATACAAAGCATTCATTACAATATCTCTTGTAGATTAGCAGTGACATTTTCTTTCCTATTGTTGGTGAACAATTAATAATACGCACATACATATATAATTTCCGAAATTATAACTATGCTAATAAGCGGCAACAAACAAGCGGACAAATGAGACTAATTTGACTCAAAATCTTATATACATATATATTCTTGTTACGGATCCTTTTGCAAAATATGTAGTACGATAAGTAAGAAAGCAAGGCTCAAAAGATTATTCGCTCGCTGATCGTCTTATTTATATTCATCGCATATCGTGTATACGAGGTATGTTTTGAAAATAAAGAGGACTTTTTAATTTTTCTTCAAAAATATTTATCCATAAATATCTGTCTTCTTCCCTTCAAAGTAATCCCTCTTAGAAATAATACACTTGTGCAAGGGCTTTTCAACGCACTTCTGATACCCCATTTTCGGTATGACCTTGAGATCTTTAAGCCTTCTTTGTTTTCTTAAACATGGCAAAAGTCTGGTCGTTAAGGGGTCTTTTCAGTTTTGGGAATAGGAAAAATAGCTGTAGGTCAAGTCCGGTGAATAGGCGATGGCTGAGGTATGATTACGATGTTGTTTTTAGCAATTTCGGAACAAACTTCTCTGCCACTTGTGTCATGCACAAAACATCCGAAAAAATTTCATGGCATTAACCAACCGATCTGCCGACACCGTCAGCAAGCTCTTTAATACCGATTTGATAAGCATTTTTTTTTTTTGCTCAAAGAAAATTCGTTAAATTTCAGTGAGTCGCGCAGCACTTAAAAGACGTTTAACCTTCGTATATGTCAAAAACAAAAAAACAAAAACTAAAAATGCAAAAAGGCTGATAATGTGAACTAATGTTGGGGATATGTGTACCAATATAATAATGAAAAGAAATTCAAAAATCGAATGTACGTAGCCCACGAAATTTGAAAAGTGATCTTTTTTTGAACGCACCACATATATATGTTGAGTGCATATCATAGGTATTAGTTGAGTTCTCTTCTTTTTTTTTTTTGTAAATAAAAGCTGAACCTTCGATTGATTTGATTGACTTTTGAATTGATAGCAAGAACAGCAAGAAATTTGCGATGTAATGTATTTGCCCAAATTACGTAACTAAAGATCGTAGTATGAACAGTGAGATGAGCAGACAAGCATGATTACATCTACTCCGCTATTTAACATGACATACATATTCTTCGTCGTCTAAGCCTTTGAAGTTTTCTTCTTTTTACAAGGATTTGTCAAGTCCCTCAACATATTCCACAGTCTATGCAATGACTTTATGATTTGATTGAAATCCTTTTGCATGGAGCAAATGATAATCACTAATCACTAGGGACCAGAACTGAAGAATAGCGTGGACGAGACAACAATTCAAGCTCCAATTCTTGTAATTCTTGCATTGTAAAAATCGACTTATCACGTGACCCAATAACCGTTTGAAAAACAACTTTCTTAAGATTCTGAATACACTGCCTTTTGATATCTTCATCAGGATATCAGTTACTGTCTGCAATTACAGTTCTCGATTACCGGAAATAATTTTCGGAATTTTTTTTTTTTACGTTTCCTAATCCCTTCGACTGCTTTCGGCAATAAATGGTTTCCGCCCACGACCTCATTTCATATCAGGAAACAACTTTCGAAGCACGCGCCAAGGTTGAAGACCTTAAAATGTGAGTTTTCGAGAGTTGTCTTGAAAGAAACAAGGATAGCGTGTCATTAAAATCACCGTAATTCGTAATCAAATGATCGAAATTATGTAAGAATGTTTTTTCTTTAGACCGAACATCTACATCTCCCTAGAAATTGTTAAACGATTTTAATAATAATTCGCGGATCGCGGTCGAAACAAACTCGTGTTACCCGCTACTTTCGATATAGAGGATATGCAATATGTGTTTCAAGATAACTAACGTCCTCGATTTGGTTTCTCTTCATATATTCGATAAGAATGCAAATAAAAAGAGAAATATGCATTTACCGGTTTAGTAATGCAATGATCTGTATTAGAGAAGAACATAGTGCACGTAGAGTAATCCACGTTAATGTAAATCATAACAGGTCGCCCGCCTATTTACAAGAAAAATATTTTAGGTATTTTTCTTTCTCTTTTCTTACAGTTATTTTAAATATTTAACCTTATCGTGCATATACATAACTACCTACATAAATACAAATGTACGCATATGCGAATATATATCCATATACATACATATGTTTATATGTACGCATATATATATTATCTTTCGTTATTGCAACTTTTATATATTTCCATATCCATGTATCTCCGCTTTGTGTCCGTTTTGTTTTTCGGCTTTTATCTGTTTAAGGGTCTTGTTAAAAATGATTCGTAACACGTTGTTACCAGATAATAACAGCCGCAGGCCCATTGTTAAAGCAGCTTGAAACTTGCCTCACCTTGTTAGGCATCAATAGGAATAATAATAATAATAATAATAACAACAACAACAACAACAATATGAAGAACATCATTAACAACAACAAGGATAAAACATGTATCGGTAAGTCAGGCTTGAAATGAAAACAAGAAAATCATTAAGAATTTTAAAGACTTACAAAACAACTTTTCAACACACAGACACACGCGTATATTGAAGGAGAGACTGCGCTCCCTTTTTTACTCTCACTTTCTTATTTACACTCTCTCTGTATTTCATCTTCTCTTGAGTTGTATTTTACGCTCTTTCTAAACTCAACATAATATCTGTCTTCCATGTAGTAGACTCTACTCTATAGGTGTTTTTTTTTTTTTTCTTTTTTTTTTTTATCCAAATTTGTTTATATAAAGTTCAATATACTTTTTGTGTATATAATTTACGGTAACAATACACGGCTCCGCCAGCAAAAACAACAGGGTGCCCCAATATTTTGTTATGGTTCTGTTTACTTGCGCGATCATTGCTTCATTGTACTTTTCCTATATTCTGATTTGCTCTAAACAATATTGCTCCCTTTGGCCGATACTGTCGTTATTATACATATCAACCAACTCCGCACATATATTTTTACTGTACACAATTGCACGTGTTTATTATGCATGAGGCATTGGAGCTCTTTTTTTGCTTTTTTTATTTAAAAAAAAAAAAAAACATTTTTTTTTTTTTTTTTTTTTTTTGTTTTTTCAGAATGTTGTGGTTCTGATATGATTCCTGCTTCTTGGTTTTGATCACGTTGTTATTTTAATTTTTGTTGTTGTTACTTTAGTCTATAACAAGAAATTCGTGCAGCATTGCGCTAATGAACACACAACACAATCAAGCGCTTCTTTCATTTCTACATTTTTCTTTTCTCATTTCCCTGCTCGACGTCTGAAAACAGAAACATTGAACAGTATTACAAAATTTTTTTTTTTTTTTTTTTTTTTTTTTTTTTGTTTCGTTTCAGTAAAAGGAACTTTCACAGAATGCGAATTAGCAACCAGAAGAACTACATTTCACATACAAGATTATATATATATATATTATGTTTGGAAAATTATTGGACTTTCAAAAGTTCGAAGCCCATATTCCGTATATATATGCGTCAACGTACTGTATTTTTTACTACACTCAGTCTGGCATATTTTATGCAAAATAGAAATCAAATTTTTTTCTTTTCCTAAAATAATTTAAAAATTTACATCCATTCTGGATTCAGTCATCTATATTCGTCTTCTCAAATCAATAAATGGAGGGTTTTGCCGGATTGTGGTTGCATGTGATTGACCAGGTAGAGCCCCTTTTACAGCGATCTCCTAAATAGCCCTCAGAAGTTATATTTATTATTACAATATAATAATAAAGTATCTACAATCCATCAATCTGTCCACTAAATTTTTCAATGCAAGCCATTTATATCTAAAAAAGATGGTAGCTTATAATCTTCTTCTTACGTTAAGTTCCGAGCATACAATGTCTGCTTTCAAATGGAATCTGCGCTTGTTTATAGAAAAGACATTTCGTTTGGCACGATGAAGGCAATGGGAAACACGAAAACAATTGCAGTTAGTTAAACTATTCTTGAAGAGCGAAACATCTTCTCTAGAGATCATTCACGAAAATTATTCATTGTTCATTATTTGCAAATCGAAATATTTTCATAATCGAAGGCCGTAAGTGTTCTTCAGCCTCATTCATTGGACGCTTGAAATAGCAAACCATACATATGTATGTCATCGAATATCAGCTTAGCGGAGAGTAAGAAGGGCTATCAAATCGACCTCTCCAGTCTCAATTCCCAATGCCGTTGAGTAACGTGTGGCCGCAACTATTATAGCGAAAGCTAAATCGATAAAATCGATACTACATAGCAATCGCGCATACCCCGTCCATCTATCCCCCGTTCTTTCTCCCTAATCATCGTTGTGTTTATACAGGTATAAAAAACATCTTCTCAGTGACCGATTATGAAATAAAAAAATATTAAACTAGTTGCACACCGCTTGAGATTTTAAAACCAAGGCCGTGAATTAACTCTTAGGGACAAAATTCTTTGGAAATTTTCAAGTTCAAATGTTCATTGATAGCTCCAGCCAGCTTGTTCTTGTGGCGACGGCAAAAAAAAATTGCAATATATGTGTGATGCCATAAACCAATAAAATTCTTCGAGATTTGCTATCAGTATATCGATCGAATATAATTTTCGTACTTGTTTTTTACTCACTCCATAACAGGAAGCGAGGGAAAGGCAACCCGGCAGATATTGCCGATAAATATAATTTGAATTCCCGTATTAGACTTCAATTTCTTTCTCATGGAGCATTTAAGGTCGCTTGAAGAATGTTTTTTCCTTAATGCATTAATAGGAAAATTAATATGGAAAGAATTATTAATTAATTTAAATAATTATATCCATTATACGCTTTCTATAAAAATTCAAAAACTTTTTTTCTCTCTTTACAGATATCTTCGAAATTAATTAGGATCAGTTCGTATAAAAGAAAGGTAAGTAATAAACTCAAGAACGATTAATAAATAGATAAATAAATAAATAAACAAATTTTAGCTATCTATCCCTTCACCTTAAACACCTATACAGATCTAATCGCCGTATCTATTGTTACACTATTAAGCAAATAATTGTGGCCGAAAAGTAAAGTTTGAAATTTCATTATACCCAACTCAACAGATATATTGAATTTATCATATCATATATTCTTGAGCTCCGATTTACCTTCATATGTATATCAGCGGTTTTCTCGATTATTGTTGTTATTGTCGAAATGTGGTATAGAAAGGCAAACTTGATCTTATCACTCTCGACAGCGTAAGTTTTGAAAAGAAGTAAAAATGTCTACGAATTCCGGTTTTTCTTAAATTATGACTTGAAACTTTTGAAATTCATAGTGCAATGTTTTGAATTGATCAATCTTGGCAACAACTTTAGACTTTTTTGACGATCAATGAAAAATTATACAATTACTACCTATGAGGCGCCGTCAAGCTGTATAAACATATGAATTGAAATATGCGCGATACGCGACACGCGATACGCATGATACAAACGTATGTATATATATATATATATATATATATATATATATATGTTTAATATCTTATTTATTATTTACTTTCGCTCTTGCTATGGTATAGTTTGTCAAATTTTTATAAACAATTGCTGGCTTTTTTTCCCACTTGATGGATTTAAAATAAATATAAAACGCATCTTAAATTTCAACTTTTAACGCAATTTTCCCCTTCTTGACGTCTCCAAGTGTAGAGAGATGCACGTGATCTTAACTAATTCACATCTGAATTTATTCTTTGATTGAAACTGAATTGAAAAAATTTTTCACTTTTTATGAAAACTATTATCATCTCATGCTTTTAATTTTCGTAATCAATATTAAAATCGAAAAAAAAAAAAAAAAATTTATTAAAATAAATGATACTTTGTACAGATCATTACATTGACTCGAAAGATATTATTTTAACTAATAATATATTTTAGGAAAAGCGATTGTTCTGCAAGGGCTTAATGTAAAATTTTCAAAAATTCATTTTTTTTTTTTTTTATCATCGTAAGATGTGAATGCAAATTATGTTTAAAACTGTACGACACCAATAAAATATGATTATTTTCGCTCTGTGCACCCTATTCACACTTCTTCTCTTTTAAAACTCTCTTTCTCTCTTACCAATTCTTAACAATTAAGGATCTCTTTTAGCCAGAGACGATAAAAATGTTGCTTGACATAAGTACACCTAATGGTACGATTATAAAATTAATTTAATGCAAGTTAAATATTAATAATTAATTAATAATTATTAATAATTATTAACAATAATAGTTGATTAAAAAGAGAAACATTTAGTAAACAATAAAAGATTGCTTCCACGATTTAGTTATATATCAGAGATACAAAATCGTCAACGATCGCTCAGCTCCTTACGGCAAACCAGCTAAATAGCTTCACTTTTTTTTCACACTTTTTTCTCTTGAAAGAATCTTAAGGCGAGTTAAGGACCAAATTAATTTACTAATACCCTACAAACTAAGACGAAACAAACTTATCGTGTGCGTATATCATGTTAAATCTAGATGATGCCTAAAAAAGTGGTATTAAACGTACCAAAATTATGATAAATGAATCTTATGCACGCTTTGCACTCATCGACTGAGCACTCATCACAGCTATGACCGAAGAACAGGTTTGAGCCCGCGAATAATAAATTATCGCTCATCAGGTCAACGATTCGATTGCCCACGATTTCAAGGTGCACGAAAGACTAATTGAATATATAATAACTTGATCATCTGATCAAGAATATTTCTATTCTATACAAATTGCAATGGGAAATTTCGATCAAATTCTTACACCTCCCTTGTCTTATATAAATTATTTTAAATTGATTCAATTCGCAATCAAACGTTCTTTGTACAGATATTCTCTCCTATATGCTATATACTTCAATGAGAAATTGTCCTACTGGAAGCAACATAAGATATCAAGTATGCGATTTGCGCTATTTACATACTTTGATACATATTACTAAAATATGATTTCATTATATTTAAAAAAAAAAAAAAAAAAATAGAAAACAAAAAACGTATCTTTAGTGTTCAAAAAGTACACGAATGAAATTTGTATAATATAGAGAAACGTATCTTCTTACACGTAGTTCTCTTCGCGTTTTTATCTCTCTTTCTCTCTCTCTCTCTTTCTCTCTCTCTCTCTTTCTCTCTCTCTTTCTCTCTCTCTCTCTCTCCCTATTTCTGTCTCTCTCTCTTAATCTTTTGCTCTCAGATTCAGTCAGTTGACCAAGTACATACATATATTTGTTTATTACTTCCCTATGTACATATTCATATATATATATGCGAGCTCATACAGTTTATAACTGAAAGATACACTAACAAGATATCAGTTTTAGTTAATGCTCCACTAACAACAGCAAGCAAGCATTCGTTACACCACAAAACACCACCTTTATAATAAAGAAGCAACACATGCTTAGCAATACATGCATATGTAAATGTTTTCATCATATATGCACGGAAGAAACTCTCACCACCCAGAGTATCAAGTCGAGTAGAGTTAGTGAACCAATTGAATGGTTTTTTTTAGATACGCTTGTTAAAAACAGTTCAGTTGAAAACGAGCGATCGTGGCGAATGGTGTTGCGTTGTATTAAAGAACTAAAGAGTTATGTTACGTTCACACTTGGCGACTTCGGTTTTCATTTTAATTGAAGAAACAATAATTCAATAAAATCGTATTAGAACTGTTTGCTTTATTCTTTCGTTTTGATCTGTTGTTTTTTTTTTTTTTTTTTTTTGCCAAGTTTCTTATCAATTGTTTTTCTTCATTGTGCTCGTAAAGGGTATTATTGTGAAATTGATACATTTAAACGCAAAATGTGATTTATGTCTATTAAATGAATGTCTTTCGTGCTCAATACGGCATTTTAGTATCATCAGAACCTGAAATAAAAATAATATTTAAAAAAAAAAAAAAAAAAAAAAGTCAAAATAGTTATAATATTAATAAGAAGAAAGAAAAAGAAGGCAATAAAAACAACAAACAAGTTTTTATGAGACAAAAAACAATTTCGGTTTACTACATGGCAAAAATTAAAATAATTGCAATAAAACGCCTACATAAATATGTATAAGATTTATAATAAAAAGTAATTCAAAATTTTCTATTCAAAAAAAAAACTTACTCACTCCTCATATGATTCGCAAAAAAAAAAATTCAATCTATATATGTAACACATAAACATAATGATTTTCGATTTAGCTTCAAAGACTTTTGATCAAAAGTCTTGAAGAAGTTTTCTAGTTTCGTATAAAGTTAAAAATGATGCAAAAATTCTTTGGAAAAAAATCGTATCTATAGCTAATGGCTATTTTATTCTCTAACAATCCAAGCTTGGAGGGCCTTCCGAATTGGTATGAATTCTCATTTCTCCGTTGCATGAAAAATGTGATAACAACATAAGACTTGTGTGTGTGTGTGTGTTTACAATCATCATACGGATTAGATTTGGTAAAAATAAACCGTTCAGGTAGGTGAGGAATGAATTATATATAAATTTTCTATTTTTCACAATAACAAAACCAATAACAAAATTGTAGACGACGCGTACAAATCAGGTTTGAAACAAGTTTACAAAATTTTAATTTAATTAAAAAAGACATCGCCATCATCATTATTATTGCCATTGCTACCTAATTTATGTTGATTTTGAACTTAAATAGCAATAATTTACCATTATCATTCAAGTTGAAGATGTATTAAAAAAAAAAAAAAAAAAAAAAAAAAAAAAAAAAAATACTGACATAGAAAATCACATAAAAGTGAACTTTAAAAATTTGACATATTTTTGAACTAAAGTTTAAAGTCAACTTATGCTTGACATATGCTCTTATATCAATAAGATGTCTTCCTAATTATGTTTTTAATTCTTCAACGATGTGTGTCAGCGTTTTGTGAAAATATTTATTATTTGTTGTCGATTCAAATGCAAGGCAACTAGGTTGATAACAAATAACGTATGTATAAAATTGCATGCATTTTACAAATGTTTAGGAAAAATTTCAACTCTCTATACTAAAAGTTTACTTTATAAAAAATAATAATAATTATAGAAGAAGACACTTTGAAAGTACAATGAAATATGACTTGGAATTTTACAGAAATTTGTATTCACTGAACGCATCAATAAAAATTTGCGCAGCTTGCTTTGCCCACGTATCGCCTGGCCCTTGCCTAGGCTTACTCCATAAACATTTTTAATTTATACTTGATTCAGAACATAATGGTTCATAGCAAGTGTTATAATTTCACCTGCTCCCAACGTAAGGATGAACATCCCATAGGTATTCATTCAGTTTGTCGTCAGTTCTCGTATGCATTGCTGCCATTTTAGAGATGTCAACACCGAATTAAAAACCCAGTACCAGGACTTAGACTTCATGGACATGGGAAAACAGCCGACACTTGATCGACAATTCTCGCAAATGTATATTTGACGCGACTTGCGTATCGAGCCATTCGCGCTTCTATAGCTCTCTTTCCCTTGCCCTTTCTATTGTTTGCATTTTATAATCATCTCAAGGGGCATGGTCAATTTGTTAAATATTTTGCAAAACTATAGAAGAATAAACGCAACAGTGTTATCTTGTTTCTCTTTTTCCGGGTGTGATATCCAATTGAGTTTCTCTATCCATTGTTGTTAGGTAAAAGTCAAAACCCTTTTAAACTGACACGAAGTCTGCGAAAAGTCGTTCATTTTTCTTTTTCCCCCTTTCTTTAGAACGGTGAGGTTTTTTAAAATCTAGTCTAGTCTATCGAAATATACCCACGAGTTAAAAGGAGTGAGCCCTATAATTAGGCAACATTTATGTTATGATGTTACCCACATTACAACGCGATCATTATAGATCCTAAAAGCTTATAATCGAAAAAACTTTTACCTAATTACTTATTTAAGGAAGA